GATTTATTTATTTTATTTTTGCTTTAGTTAGTGTATCTTCATTTTAACTTATAACTCTTTGTACCAGTGATTTAAGGTACTGGACAATTCTTTTCACCCTATTTGGAGGTTTCTGGGGCTTTCTTTTTTTTTTCCATTTTTACTATTCAGATGCAAAAATTGTGCTGTCCAGGTTTTTCACCCTCTGAATTCAAATAGATTTACATTATATATATATATATATATATATATATATATATATATTAGTGGTAAATATACACATTGCCCCATCTCTCTCCCCCACCCCTTCTTCTTTCCTTTCCTCTCCCTCCCTCTTATTCTGATCTTTAACATTAGATTGTCTATGGTGTGCGTATGTCACCACGAAATGTATCTTTAATCTATTAGACATCCGACAACATTCATATTTCCCCCTTCCACTCACCTCTCTAAAACTTCTCACTGTTAAGGTTTAATCTCCCACCTTCTCTTGTCTATTACCCCTCTCTTTAACACTAACATTAGTCCCACACTCTCATACTTACACTCTCTCTAAATTTGATTTTTATTTCCGGAGTTGTTTTTTTCTGTTTTCTTTTTGAATTTGTAGGTCTGATGAATTGGATCATATTTATGATTCCAATGGAATAAATTATGACCATGGAATATTAGTGTTTAAGTCTTTTTATTATATATATATATATATATATATATATATATATTAACTGGCAGCTGTGGTTAGTCACTGCCCACCTAGAATTTGACTTAAATATATTATATTTATATTATAACTATATATTGAACACTTTTTTTTTTTTTTTCTAGTGTGCAATCTTAGGCAGACTCTTTTGGGAGCTGGTTATTCTTATCTAAAATTGTAAATATTTTGGCATAGGTGACTTTAGTGGGCCAGTATAGTAGAGTACCTTTTTAGCTTGAAGCTCTAAGCTCCACGACCGAGGTGCTATTTTTCATTATGGGACTGAGCACTTTTTTTTACCATGCTGGCAAACCTTTTCAGGTGGAATTTTTTTTTGTTTTTCAGCTATTTTGATCTTAGCCAGATAGGTTACCCCCCCACCCCTCCCTGGTGAGCTTGGTTGGATTACCATCTTGGACTTGCCTGGTGGTATCAGGGTTCTTATTTTACTAAATACAGATACTGACCACCTGATCATTGCCTGAAAACGTATGAAACTGGCAGTCATAGTTGGTCACAGCACACCCAAGATTTGAATTAATATATATATATATATATATATATATATATATATATATATATATATATGATAAAAAAGGAGTCATGGTGGACTAGTGGATACCAGCTCAAATTAAGGAATCAGAGAGCCAAGTTTGAATTCCATTTAAATCCATTACATTCACTTACATTCTAATACCCTTGGGAAAGGTATTAACCCTCCTTTCCCTCCAGCTATGGGTAAATAGCAGTACTGACTGGGTTCTATAGCCTTGGATGGCAACTAGTCTAGGAGAAGGATAACTGTGAATTCAAAACCGATGGAGGGTTGTTTGGGGGCCTTGTGGCATGTAGTGCACCAGGTCTCTGTATTTGGCCCTTCAAAATGTGTGGTTGATTTGGCATTAAGCCTTCATCACTATAATCAAATCATATGTGCTGGTCTTTGGGTTGTCAGTTCCTAGAAACTGAGTTGCTTGACTCTCATATGTCGAACATGATGGGAGGGTCCACCATAAATGATCAAGATACTTCTTGAATGATGTCTGTGTTCTTTCTAAACTTTATATAAATAGAAATTAATTTACATAAATATTAATTTTCTGTTTGCTGAGATATTTTAAAAATTCAAAAATGTGTTTTTCTCATTCGTCTAGTTTTTTCCCATTTTGGTGAACAGAAATGATTACATTTTTAATATTTAAAATGAAAAGCAAAATAAATGTAGAAATCTTACAAATACAATTCTATATTTACTTACCAGCTCATGATATATTTTCTTTTCATTGCATATAAATTATTTATAAAGCCTCAAATATTAGGCATTCCCCAAGTTAAAAATAATTTTAATTTTTTCTTTAAATTGAAATTTAAAAAAATAAAAATTATACAAATTCTTTTCTTCCATCTTATTTAATTTTCCCACTTGTGTCAACTGAGAGTTTATCATGGAGATTATATGAGAACAAGCTCTTTCAGTGCTCCAGCACCCTCCTCAGTATTCTGGCTGTTTTTTAATGTTTTGTCTCAGTGAATTAATTTAGGCTACAGTAAATATGTCATTCAAGGTGTGTCTCGAGAGGATGATATACTGTGCATCTTTGTTTATGAGTAGGAGAACATCACAAAAGGGTATCAAGGGGGGTGATTTTTTCTTTTTAAAGTTTGAAGGGTGTGGTAGCCAAGATAACTGTGGATTCAAATCTAGATACTTGGGAACATCCTTAATTGGAACCTGTTCCCATATGATCACCAAAGTTAAACAACATCAAGCATGGTCAATACTTAGATGGGTGACCACTTGTGAATACCTGGTGCTGTAAGCTTGGATGTCCGTGTGGTGTAATGGATAGTGGTTCAGTATTGTTAATCACAAAGCTGAGTTCCAATTCCAGTTGGATTCATTATATTCAGTTCCGTGCAAATAACCTTGGGAGAGGTATTAATCCACCCCTTCACCCTCCAGCTATGGGTTAATTAATAAAACTTGTATCACTAAATCATCATTATTTAAAAAAAAATTCTTAAAATCTAAAAATATTTTCTGGCTTTAAATAACCTGCTAAGGGTTCATAAGCTAGAAAAAACAAATTGATCAATCGGGGGATGATCTGAGCAGATCAGATGACCTGACCTGAATGTATTTCTAACTAGGCCCCATCAACATTATATGTTGCTATTATCAAAACCTGTGACCATATTCACATATTCAGCTGATATACACTGATCAGTTACTTATATTGGGTTTCCTATATTTGTATCTCAGTACAACTTTGTTGGAGTGTTCTTCTCTTACTTAGAAATAATTATAATAATAATTAGTAAAATGATTGACGTAATTCTTGCAACACTTTTGCAAAGACTTCCTGGAGAGTGCAATTTGAGAAAAGAAAAAAAAAACACAGTGATTAACAATATTTTAACAATATGCTTTCAAGTTATGTTAAAAAAATGCATTTTATCACAAACGACTGCAACTTTGACAAATACATAAGGTACTCATTCTGAAAAAAATATTTAGAAGCCCCTGACCTTTTGACTCTTAAAATGCATGAAGATAATTACATATGCATCGGGGAAATGAGCAAAATGACAGTCCCATAAGATTTATGCTAAACTGTTTGATTAATCACTCTTACTAACTAATCAAGTGACAAAAGATTTTAAGATTAGCATGATACCATCATATTATTTGCATTTTAGTTGCATTCTATTCCTACTAACACCATTTCTCTCACTTTGTCATGTTCATTACAAGTACAACCCTTTTTCTAAAGACAAGCAATGCATCCACCATTTTTAATTTTATATATAATTGGAAGCAGACAGGTATACGGTTGAAAATGGATAAAACATTGTTAAACACTGCATCTTTTCTTTTCATTTTCTTAAATTGTGCTCTATTTATTTTTTTTTTAAATCGATTTCATCCCAAGCAAATCAATAAAGCCACTCAGAAACATTTGGTTGCTGGGTGTGGAAGAATTAGGAACAGAAACATTAATAATGAGTCGGAAGAGGAAAAAAAGTAATCAGGAGGACAATAGATAGTGATTGACATTGCATTTAAATTTTTGAAGATGAAAGTTTACAGGGAAGCAAGGAGTCGGAAGGGAGTTCCACAAGTGAGAAGTGCAATAAAAGAAACTGTAGAACGTATGGTTAAATCTAGCCATTTCAACTGTAAAATGATGAAACTTTACTACAAATCTAGTACTGCGATTAAATTAAAAAAAGTCTAGGTACCATAGTGAAGCGCTCATCAAAACAATTACCATGAAAGTATTTATAGAAAAGACATAAAAAGGCAACCTTGTGGGGTTGGGAAAGTGGCTGAAGCTGAGCAGCCAGATTAGGACTGATAATATCGCTGATTCTTCTCTGGTAATGTTCTAAGCATGAACAAATGGTAGACTTATAGATATGTAAGACAGAATCTGGAGAGAAAAATTGTCTTGCACAACGCAGTGAACCAACTTTTTTAGCTGCTGATCTAGCAGTGGATTCAATATAGTCTTTCCACTTCATGTCAACTGAGAATGTTAGCCCGAGAAGGTGGAACAAGTCACTTTCCCAGAGGTTAGCATCAGCCATGCTGATGGAAGGCAGAGAGCTCTTCTGGAAGTGTTGTAATAATGATAATAATAACTTTTCTGCTTTTATGATGATGTCATGGTGTAAATAGAGGAAAAGATAGAAAACTTTATAGTACAAATGATGAAGATATTAGAGCTTCTGTTTATTACGATCACCTATATATACCTTTGTTGCGGATACTGCTTCTAGCTTAATGAAAACCATTGGGAAACAAAATGTTCATATGTTAATATTATTTATACTGGTCTTCTGAGTGAGACAGTTTGTGATACAAGGTCGGGTTTGATGTGGGGGAATCCGATAGCATACACCCATACCAAGGACAAAAATACTTCAGTCTCTAAAACCATCGGTTGTGCTGGCATCGATTAGACTACAACGGGTTGGGTGCAGCCTCGGGTACCTATTCCCCAGAACTGGGCACCTCACAGTATTTATTTTCCTCAGCTGGGTCTTTGTTCGCCAACAGAACCACAACTGAGTCGTACTCTGCCCAAAGACAGAGACGCAACTGAGTGATGATAAACACTACCCAGCATATGCCAGGTAAGTATATGATTTTCTAAGTGTAGCTTAAATGTAGCACAAGACTGAAAGTATAGAACACCCAGTGAGGATTGAACTCACTAATCAGTCATAATTGTTCTAGTGAGACAAGCTTGTTCACCATTACACTATGTCAAAGTGCCCGATGTTCAAATGTAAGTATTATGTATTATTTTTCCTTATAAGTGAAATGCTACCTGATAGAATCTACATTTCTCATTTAATTCATTTAATCTTAAACTAATAATGGCAGTACTTTATTTAGTACTTTAGTAGTTTGTACTTTAGTACTTTAGTAATTACATTATATTTTCTGAATGTGTGTGTGTGTGTGTGTGTGTGTGTGTGTGTGTGTGTGTGTGTGTGTGTGTGTGTGTGTGTTATTTCTCCTAAACCCTGTTCTGTCATCCATTTACTCAAGCATGATAGGTAGGTTAGTCACTGATTTCCTCTGTCCCTCTTGCCTTCAATCTATCCTGTGAGTTTCAAATTTCCCAAACCCTCTATCCTCATTATATGCCCTAGAATTGTAAATACTCATGATAGAGACAGTTAAAAGAAGAAAAAAAAAAACACTAGTGAATATAATAGTTGAGTGAGACTCTTATAGGCCAAAAGTGGATGGAGCTTTTTTTATAAAGTTGCTGGCAAATGATCGAGAGTGTAACCACTAAAATAAACACACTTTTCTTTTGTGCTTGAATGTTTATTGACCAATGAAAAAGCCCTTTTGGCCATAAATCCCAAACAAATAGAAATCCAGCAGATTTAAATAAACATAAGTTTTATGAATGATTTTTCCTTATAAGTGAAATGCTATCTGATAGAATTTACATTTCTCACTTAATTCACTTCATTATAAACTAAAACAGCATTAAATTAGTAATTTAGTACTTTAGTAATTTAGTACTTTAGTAATTTAGTAATTACTTTAAATTTTCTGAATGAGTAATCTAAGATTTTTATCTCACAGGCACTTTTGTTGCCTTTAAGAAAGAATTCTACTTTTTGAATGACTACAAGTAAAGTATCCAAAGAAATATGAAACAACAGAATTAAAGGTTAATATATTAGCAGCCTGATCTACCCTACTTAATAATGAGATATTTACTTATTGGCATTGAGTAGTAGAGTCTTCTTTTACCGTAATATTAGAATATTTCATTACTGAGGAGAGATCAGGTTGCGTAATCAATAAATATATTATTGTGGATACTGCTTCTAGCTTAGTTAAAATCAGTGGCTGCCAAAATGTTCACCTGTAAATGATGCACTGTCTCTATTTGCAGAGGTAAAATGAAACAGAATGAATGTGGAAGGAATTTCAACACAGAGATATTTTCTTGTACTTTTTAAAATCATTTCACCCCAAGCAAGACAATAAAGCCACTAGGATGCAGAGGGTGACAGGGAGTGAAAGAGAGTGAGAAGACTTTAGTGAGGAGAAAAGACAAAAAAGAAACAGGTTTCAAGAAGACAGAAGATGGTGATTTTGTATTTTTTATACAAACTAATAAAAGCTTAACAAAAGGAGAGAAAATATATTAGTGTGTCCACAACCGAGAAGGAAAAAAAGACATTGGACTAAGCTGTTAGGAAATGTGTGTGTCTGTGCATATGTGTGTGTGTCTTTTTGTTAACTCTCCTAAACTCTGTTCTGCCATCCATTTACACAAGCATGCTAGGTAGGTTATGCATTGTTTTTCTTCTAACCCTCTTGCCTTCAATCTATCCTGTGAGTATCAAATTTTCCAAGCCTTCTTTCTTCATTATGTGCCCTAGAAATTTCATCTATTACTATAGATAGGTTTGCCTTTCATCCTATTCACACTCCTTCCCTTGTTTCCTGTGTAAGATTGCGGTTCTCAGGCTCTGTCTCCTAAAGTCTCCTCATTTTTTCTTCACCCCCAATAAGCCTTTGTATCTTTGCGACATTATCGCATGTAAAAGTTCAGTTGTAATTCCCCTAGGGAAAAGCTATTATCCCCAGCTGAAACAGGGCCTGTGTTGGTGTTTCTACATATTGCATGCTTGGTTTAAAGGAGGAAAAAGAGGAAGATATAATCATCCTTGTATAGTAATTAAACAGCGCCACCTAACAGTGTCTTGTCAGACCAAGTGGAGGTTATCTCGACAACCGGTCAAATCCAAGCACCCCCATATTCCATCTTCTTTCTTAATAATTATGGTTCACCATAAACATACTCTCAAAAGATTAATCTAAAAACTTGAGTCATGTTCTTAAACAGCCTCGTTGGATCAAGACTTTCATATTGATATCATGCAAACTTGTTTAGAAATATCTAAATTATCAGCCATATATAATGCATTTTTAATTTTTTTCTTGGATCAATGCCTAAACCAACAAGTACAAAATAGTTTTCATCACCTTAATCACTCATTTCAATTTATGTAACTACCTGCATATCTTCTCATAACTGACTATGGCCATTGCATGATATAAATCGACTTTTTAATGGTGCTGCAATTGAATATGGATTTCTAGCACAGCTAATGGCTTACATTGTTTAACACAGTGGCTACCCAATGGTGCAGCATGCCTCATAGGTGTGGTGGAAAAGGATTTTATCAAGAATTTCTAAATATATATAATAAGAGCACCAGACCGAATGTGACAGCAATATTCAAAGCAAAGATGGATTGTAGTCTTATAAATATGT